GGGCTAGTCCTCCATTTGGCTCAAATGAAACTCTTTTCTCTTCTTCTTGTACATTGATGATTCTCAACACAGCTGCCCTACCCACTCACAGGGTTCTGCCGGTTTCCCCCAACGGTGCAGCACAGACGGCCCGAGAAGGTGAAGCGTCCTCTTCAACCTTGTTAAAGACCCGAAATAAAACTGCACTGTCTCAGAAAACAAGCAGGAGGGGCTGGACGAGTCCCCGGTCTCAGCAGAGGCAGAAACCAAAGTGCCACCTGTGTCCGGGCGCCCTGCTGGGTGAGCCCAGGTCAGCCCAGATCACTGGCCAGGGGAGCAGAGCCCTCGGTTCTCAGACGGGTCACACTGTCCTCGTCACGCCACACAGATGCAAGGGTTTTACACGCTGAAGGTTTGCTGCAAACCTGTGTCGAGCAAGTCTCTCGGCACCATTATTCAGCAGTGTTTGCTCAGTTTGGGTCTCTGGGTCACAATTTGGTATTTCTCACATTTCTACCTTTTTCATTACTATTATATGTGTTACCGTGATCTGTGATCAGTGACCTTTGATGTTACCACTGTGACTCGCTGGAAGCTCAGGTGACGGTTAGCATTTTTTAACAATAAAGCATTTTTAAGTTGAGGTATGTAAACTGGTTTTAGTCGTGATGCTATGACACCATTAACAGACTACAGTCCAGTGTAAATGTGGTTTTTATACGTGCAGGAAAACCAAAACGTTTGTGTGACTCCCTTTATTGTGACAGTGGCCTTGTTAAGGTGGCCTGGAACTGAACCCACAGTGTCTCCACCACACTCGGTCTCAGCAAACGCGACCCACCCGGGAACCCTCTTGATGGACGTGGTCGTCCTCATTTCCAGAGCACCTGCCTGCGCGCTGAGTCAGGAAGCCACTCCCTCCCCTCGCTCAGCTGGTGGGGAGATGGCCCAGCCCAGGCAGGTGGAATTGAGGACCTCCCTGGCCGTGGCCTGAGCACACAGGTGCGCTGGTCATGCCCCCTGACCTCCCTGCCCCGTGGCATGTCGAGCCTCCCGGGACGTGCATCAGGGCCAGGAGGAGCCCCTGCCTGCAGACTCACCCCGCCTCCTGCCACCCCGAACCCTGGACCACCTTCCCTCTGCCTGAAATCATTTCTGAGAACATCCCTAGTTATGCCTTGCTGGTGGCAAACATAGTTTTGTCTGAAAACGTCTTCATTTCCCCTAATTTTTGAAGGTGGTTTCACCGCGTGTGGCTGACCCGGCACTTCTAGGGCCTCAGCTGCGGGGGAGTCTTCTCTTGGCAGCTCCAGCGTGGCGGTACCTACGGTAAACCTCTGGGCTCCTGCCCGCTGCTCTGCTGGGACTCCCCCCTCTGCAAGGTGGGACAGCACAGGGCCACCTTGAGACACTTGCGTGAGCTGCTGAGTCTCGCCTTCACTCCTGAGAGCAAGGCTCCCATGAACATGCACGACTCTCAAGGTCAGGAAATTACTGCTGACGCAATGCTGTCTAACCCACAGGCACTGTTCCAACCTCACCAACCGTCCCAGTGACAGGCTCTGTGGTGACATTTCTCTCTGAGCAGGACCGCACGCCACACTGGCTGCCGCATCTCTCCTCCTCGAACCACACGGCTCCTCAGCCTGCCCACGTCCTCCTGACCCCGACGTCGTCCGTGAGGCACGTGGGCCAAGGTCTTGTAGACAAGAAGCGTGTCCCTCAGTGTATCTGATGCTTTCCCTCAGTGGAGCCAGGCTGTGTGTTTCGTCAGGAGCGCAGAGTCCTGGCCACTCCATCAGGAGGCCCGAATGTCGTCCATCGTTTGGGGAGCGATCTGCCGGGCCCCACCAGTGTTCTGGAAGCAGGACCTTCGTGACGGGGACACCCTGAGACAGCCATTCCTCGGCCAGCTCCCCGGACGTCCGGCTCCAGCGCCTCCTCCACGGTAGTCAGCTGGCACACGTACTGATGTCACAAGCAGTGAAACACGCTGCAATAAACGAGGGCTCGCAGATGCTGCTTCCACCCGAGTCACAGCCCACGCTTCTCGCTCACCACTCTGACAGTCAAGTGTCTCAAGCAGCCAGGGGAGGTCCTCCGGGCTGGCACCTACACAGCTTTCTGAGTAGCTGGTTTCTCTTCATTCACTCAGTCTGGGATGTCAGACCTCTGTAGGCCACTCTCCTTCCGTGGTTATGAGAGCCCTCAGCCCGGGGACGTCTCGGGGGCTGGTACTCTGAACAAGGTCCTCACGTCTGTCTTCCAGTTCACTAATCATGCCTTCAACTGTGTCTAACCTGCTGGAAAATCTATCCACCTAGGGCTCAGTTTTAACTTTTTTCATTTCTAGTTTGTTCTTCCAAATCTGCTCATGCTTTACTCATGTTTGAGCCTCTCTTATTTCTTGAAATAAACACAATTGCTTTATATTCCATGTCTCAAAACTCCAACCTGCAGCATTTGTGTGTCTAATTCTGCTGCCTGCGGTTCCTGTGTGCACTCAGGCTCTTGCTTCCTTGTGTGCTCAGGGCTTTGTTTTGTTTGACTGTGTGCTGCTCCTTTTCTTGGAACTTTGTCTGCTAAAATTACTTGAAACCTGGGATAAAGATGAGTTCTTCCAAAAAGGACTTTTCATTTGCTTCTGTCAGATCCCTGGGAGAGCTGCCAGCCAGGACCCACTTACACCTACATGCTCGGCCTAAGTTTTCAGACTGTACAGGCCACGTGTGAAACCTCAAGGGGCCCCTGTCCGCCCGGTGCTAAGACATGAGAACATTTTCCTTGTCCTGGGGGACAGAGGGGCTGGGAGGACATGCGCAGTGGTCACCCAACACTGGAGACCTTTGGAAGCAGCAGCGTCACAGAGACCATCCCCGCCCCCAGCTTGAGGAGGCATCTAGAAGGTGCTTTATGAAGATACCTCAGGTAGCACTGCCAGGTGCTTTCAGAACAAGGTGAGTCTGGACACCTGAGCCACAAGTGGCAGGAGCACACCCTCCCCTTCATCCTGCTCCCAGCTGCTAACCGCCCAGCCACTCACCCTGCCCGACAGCCACCACCAACCCCAATCCCAGCAAGAACAGAGCTGCCTCCTTCCCAGCCTCTCTCCACAGCTTCCCTCCAGGAACAGATCGACGTGCCCTCAGCGAAAACCCTGTCTGTCCTTGGAGGCTCCTCCCTCTCCCCTCTGCTCTCCCAGGCATAGGATTTGGGCCTTCTCAACCCCTACCCCGCAGGCCACCCCCCAGAGGAGGGGTCTCCTCTCGTTTTCTTTTCTTCGCACTGCAGTTCGGGGAGGCTCCCTGCAGCCAGCCCACGCGCTCGGTTTGGCTGCATCAGACCCTCACCTGCACACACTTCACGTTGATCCCAGGACACACGAACTTCCTCCAGATGAGGTTGGCCCTGCTGTCCCCGCAGGTGATGGGGTACACGATCTCAGCCTCCAGGCCTTCCTCCTCCTCAGCCATCTTCACTTCTCAGAGGTGCAGAGGCAGGGAAGGGGCAAGACAGAAGATCAGTCACAACTTCCCCAAGCACTTCCTGCAGGGGCACAAACCTAACTACCAACCTGCAAACCAGGCATCACAATCCGGGAAGGACTGAGACAGGACCCGGGTGGGCAGGGCCACGTCGCATCAGCCCAAACTACAGAGCCCCAGAGGAAACAAACTGCCTGCAGTGACTCCAGAGAAACCTATTCTTAGCATTTTGGTGAGTTCTGAGGCCTTTGATGAGGCAGCAGCAAAGGACCAAGGGTGAGAAAGAGTCCCCATGACCACTCACAGATGGCGCAGTACGGAGAACCGCAAACCTGCGCTGGCCCCTCACCCCAGGCCTCCGGAAAGGAGCCGCACGAGGGCCCCGGGGACCTCGATGGTCAGCCTGCAGCCAGGAGGACCACTGCCTTGGGAAAAACTGTCTGCAGAGATGCCAGCAGGCCCCGCGGCGGGAAGGCAGGCTCCCTACCTAACACGGCTTCCTTGAGCTGTGAGGACGCAGTGAATGCAGCTGCAGCAGCCGCCGCTGCATTTTCTGTCTCCATGTTGTCTTCTGTCAGGTCACCCCTGGGAAGGAAGGAGAGGAGAGGGGGAGACATTAACACCCCGAGACAGCGAGCCCCGCAGGGGCCCGTCCCTGCACCGCCATCCCCACAGGTGCTTCTCCAAGTGGCCTGTCTTGTTCCAGCTGCATCTCCGGTGCCACAAAGTGCCCGGCGTGTGACACCAGCACAACACCTTTGGGGGAAGCGATGACCACAGGACCGGGAATGCTTAGCCTCCACAACTTCCTTTAATAAAGGTTTTAATTTCTATCATAATGATTTCATATGATTATAGAAACTATCAAAAAGTATAAAATTTCAGAATGAAGGAAAAAGAAATCACCCTTGGCCTAACCTCGTTTTATACAAAAATATAAGACAAATCAAATGTCAAAGTAAAAAAGGTGCAACTATAAAAGTGTTATAAGGAAAAAAAATTTTTTAAATCATTGCAAAGTGGTAAAAAGGTGTTTTTTTTTTATGTGACACAAAATCCAGAAATAAGAGACAAAAAGTTTGCCTTAAAAAATAAAAACTTTCTGTGTGGGAGGAAAAAAACCCAGAAACAATGTTTTAAAAGAGAGAATTGGGGGAAACTTACACAACATAAGGAAGACAAACAACTCCCTTCCTCATAAGACACAAAGAGCCCCAGGGGAGCTGGCCAAGCCCTCACTGGGGGCCTCTTCCGACTTTCAAGAGATGCAAACAGAGGCCCCACCCAGCGACCAGGGACAGTCAGTCCTGGACAGGGCACTGCCTGCAGCTTGGAGATCAGGGACCTTTGACCAGGCCTCCCTTAGGGAAACTAACCGTGCAGAGAATGCAGTCCCACGTGCGGCCCTGTGCAGGACATCTCAAATGGGGCTACAGTCTGGCTCCTGGAGCCCAGGAGGAGACCCGGACGGTGGGCGGGGCCGGCGGAGCTCCCCTGGTGACCACTGAGGGCACAGCGGTGCTCTTTTCTGCACGAGCGCCAGCCTCAGGCAGAGGGGCACTTGAAAGCAAACGCCCTCTCAGGGGGGGCTCCTGGGCGTCCAGAGCCTCGCTGCCAAGCGAAAGGGAAGGGATGGGCCCTGAAAGCAGCAGGAAACCCTCCGGTCTTTAAACAGAGCAACACGGTCAGGGCAGCAGAGACAGAGATGGATTTCAGGGGCAGGAAATGGGCTGGGGAGGCAGGTGGGAGGCTTCCCAGTATGGACCTCGGCAGCAGAGGACGGGCACAGCAACATGTCCCCTGCTGAGGAGACACGCGGACACCTCCGGTGCAGCCAGGGCAAATGGGAGGCTGAGGCAGGGCCCATGCAAGACAGGCTCGGACCCCCTGGGGCAGCCCTCCAGGGTCCCTGTGGTCACTGCCCCCGGGGCAGCCGCCGACCCAACTTCCAGCACCACAGACCAGGTTTAAGGCCCCTGAGCTTCCAGAAACTAAGTCAGAAAACAGCCTCCCTGGGGCCAAACGCAGCACTCCCCGTTCCCTTGCAGGAGGAACTTTGCGCAGTGGATCTGCAGTTCGGCCAGGGTCAGGGCTTGGCTGGATGTGGGGGTCACCGCGAAGCCTTGGTTGAACAGAGAATCCCCTGGGAAAGGTGAGCAGGAGAGAGCCCACCTGAGCCCAGAGGGCCAGCATCTAAGCAGCAACAGAGAAGGCCAGGCCCCCGGAGGGGCTGCCGCGGAGATGGAGGGGCGTCTCCAATGCCGAGGGCACTGGCCAGGGGGCCCCAGGCTCTGCCAGAGACCCTGTGCTCAGGGCAGCAGTGGTCGTGGGTGCAAGGAGAGGGGCAGCAGATGCAAAGGCACTTCCTCAGACAGTCACACGCCCTGCAGTGAACACGGGCGTCGCCCCGGCGAGCTGGGGCAGCCTCCCAGAGCCAAGCCTGCCACCACTCGGCCCACAGGAGGGCAGGTCAACAGCCTCAGTTCCAACGTCAGAACTCCAAAGCCCTGAAGGGGCCCCAAGGGCCAGGCAAACACGTAACAGCCGCAAGTAAACTGTGTAAAGCAAAAAAATCCAGCGCCCTGAGCCAGGGACAGGTCAGTGCTTTGCTCTCAAGAAGGAAGCCAGCAGCTAGATCAAAAGTCAGCTTTTTGGGCAAACAACACCCCATGTGGATGGGTAACAGGAGAGGTCAGGAAGGGGGCTCTCCACGTCGTGGTGAGGAGGGTCCAGAAAAACCTCTGGCTCCTCAACTTCCTTCTGACGAGACCATCCCCACGGGGCCCACTGCGCCCCCTCAAAGGAGACATGAGCGGGCGTCTGGGAAGTGAAGGCGCAAACGCGGTGCCAGGTGCCAGGGAGAAGAGGCGGAGCAGCCTGTCCCAGCCCCGCTGGTCCCTGCACTCCCCGCTCCGGCCCCGACGTCCTTCCCTTCAGGGTCCCCGCGGCCAAGGAAGCTCCTGGAGCCCCCAGCTGCCCCCACCATGGCCCAGATGCCCTCCAGACTGCAGCTCCAGGGACAGGTGCCCGTCCTCACCCATGAGGGGCCAGGTTGGTGGTGACCAGCACGGTCTTCACCTCCTCCACGCCGCTGCCATCCACCGCCGTGTCAGGTGTTGTCACCACCACCACCTCCTCCATGTGGACGCTCACGTCGGGGGCGGCCATGGCGCAGCGGGAAGGGAGCAGCGCCAGCGCCCCTGCCCGGGCGGGTCCTGCAAGGGCGACAAGGTGGCAGGGTGTCTGCACAGGGACCGCGCTGCTCTCCACAGCAGTGGCGGTGACAGAAGGGCCATCCTGGGGCTCCTGGCTCCAGGGAGGGTGGGATCAGCTCTGCCACCATGAGAGCTCCGACAAGGCAGGATGCGGGGGCGCCCCACGAGCGCTGGGGGGCTCGGGGTTACCCGGCAAGGAACCAGGAGGAACCAGGAGTCGGGTTTCTTGGTTGTTACTGGCCCTGGTGTCCCCAGGCATGAACTCAGGGCTGTGCACAGAAAGCCCTCAAACACAAGCCCTGTCTCTGGTGGGAAATCCTCCCTACTACCGTTCTCACCTTTGCTGGCTTCGCCCTCCCAGCAGTCCCTCCAAAGCCCTGGGATGGCAGAGACCAGGCAGGCACCTAAAACTCTGAGGAACTGGAGGCACGTCAGTCCACCCTCTGATGCCTGGCTCAGGGCAGACCACACACCGAGGTATCACAGCGCAGAGGACACTAAAAGACCTGGTTTTTAGCCAGAGGACAAGGAAGCGGGCTCTGGGGTCAGAGAGTGAGGGGGACTGCAGAGAGGAGGGAGGTCAGAAAGGGCTCACACCCAGGGTGCATGAGGGCTTGGATCACTCCTTACCTGCCCGTGTGAGACCCTGACCCTAAACGACAAACTAGAGGCTTCGAGAACTGACCTACAGGGTCAACTACCACACACGTCTCAGACTGGCCATGGGGGGACCTACAGGGCAGACCCAAAGAACCCTGCACAGGCTGGAAGACTGAACCGATTAAGGCTCACGCCCACAGGAGGGCTCAGAACCTGCAGCCTCCACCTGCCCGGGTCCACCTCCTGCTATAACAGAACACCACATTCTCCACAAGACTCGCCCGGGACGTGGAGCCTCAAACACGACATTCAGAGTATTCAGAACACAATCCAGGCTTATCTAACAAACAAAGAACCAGGAAAGTCTGACCAATTCTCAGAGGAAACAATCATCAAGAGAAGCCCACTCACAGGCGACCACCGGGGTCAGCAGTGACTTCAGAGCAGCTGTTACTCCTGCTTCATGAGGGGAGCCAGACGTCCCTGAAAGTATCGGCACAGGAACAGAGGTCACAGCCAAGTGGAAATTAGAGCTAAGAAACATAACAACAACAGAAATAAAAAACTCCCTGGGTGGGCTCAATATCGGAATGGAGAGGAGAAAGGAGGGAGGCAGTAACAGATCAATACAAACCACCCAGCCCCGGTGACAGGAAGGAGGCGGACGAGCAAAACGAACAGAGCTTCCGGGAGTGCAGGACAGGACTGAAGAGCTGGACGTCTGTATCACTGGGTCAGAAGGGAAGGAACGAGCGTGACGCTGAAGAAACACTTTGAAGCAGTGATAGCTGAACGCCCCCCAAATTTAGTGAAAACATAAACGCGTACACTCAAGAAGCTCAGCAAATCTCAAGCAGGAGGAACTCGGAGAAGCCCACGCCCAGGTCATAACCAAGCTGCTGAAAACCAACGACAAAGTAAAAACATCCCAAGATTGAAAAAAAGGCACATGTTTCCCACATGGGAGGAATGGGCAGCCCGCGGACTCTGGTCTCCAACGTGCAGGAGGAGAGAGCTCCCAGCGCTGCGTTCGGCAACAGTGGAGAGATCCTCCGGAAGTGAAGGCAAAATAAAAGCATTTTCAGACACAGGGAAACTAAGAGAACTGGCCACGAGCAAGCGGACCTGCTCTAGAAGAAATGCGAGAGGACGCACTTGAGACAGAAGGACAAGGGCAGCAGCGGGAGGCCTGGAGCCTCAGGACCGCGGGAAGGGCACCCAACGTGGGAACCGCTGGATGAGGAGACAAGCTGTGGACGGAGACACACCTGCAAACCACGCGTCTCCCAAAGAACTGGCACGCACAACCCGCAGCAACAGTGCAGCGTGAGAGCAGACAGGGGTCAGGGCAGACACCTCAGCAAGAGACGTGCAGAGGCAGGCAGGCGCACAGAAACGCCCGACATCACCCCCACGACGCACCCCAGCCCTGGCAGCACCGCTTGAAAACCCAACAACCAAAAGTCGACATTCGAAGAAGGTGAGGCAGTGGAGCGACCGGAATCTCAGACACAGCTGGTTGGTGCAGCTCCTGGGAAAGTCTGGAAGTTTCTCATAAAGTTTCATGCACTCTCAATACAGGACCCACCAACCGCATTCCTGAGTACCTGCCATGGCAAATGAATACCTGGGCTTCCCCCAAATCCCACACACACATTTTCGGGACAGCTTTATCCGTAACTGGCAGAACAGGAAACAACTCAACAACCTTCAGCAGATGAAACAAGCAGAGAAACAGACTATGGTCCACCCATACAAAACAGGACGACTCAGGGATAAACAATAACGAGCGACATGCCAGCCCCAGCGGCTCTGCAGGCTCGTGCGGGCGGGCCGCACGGCCGCCCGGGGACAGCGACGCCGTGGCGGGGCTCTCGCCCACAGCAGGCAGCTGCAGATGGCAAGGAAGTTCTCTGGTATGCTCACACCACACTGTACAAGTCTACAGAGCTTGTAACGCATTATGTCCACAAACAACGTACACTCCCTGGTGAAAAAACACTGCATCGTTAAAAATGCTAACCACTGTCTGGGCCCTCGGTAGTAGCAGCAGTGACAGCAAAGACTGCTCATCACAGGCCACCACAGCAAACACGGGAACAACAAAGAGTGTGAAACAGCGCGAGAATTACTAAAACGTGACAGACACCGAAGTGCTCAAGTGCTGCTGAAAAGACGGCAACGAGACTTGCGCGACGCGGGCTCGTCAGGCCTCCGCAGCTCGTGAGCAACGCGGGACCTGCAAAGCACACAGAAAGAGGTGAGCCTGTGACGCGTGAGCCCCTGCAGGGCGTCCTGGACGAGACCGAACCGGGCGCTGCGGAGCAAGGCCGAGGGCCGGCTCAGGGAGGACACGCCCACCAGGAGAACACCAGGAGGGTCTGGAGGGCCGGGACTGCTCTGTCTTCCGGTGGTGGGGGTGGCTACACGAATCCGCACGGGGGTAAAACTCAGAACTGTACCCCAAAAACCATGAAAGGTTACTTTACCACTTGGAGATCTTTTTAAAAAATTAAATTGGCCAAAACATGCTATTGCACTCTCACACACGGTCAACTGATTTCTGACAAGGATGCCAAGACCACTCCAAGGGGATGCGGACTGTCTTTTCAACATGTGGAGCTGAGACAGCTGAACACCTACATGCACAAGAACAAAGCTGGTGCTCACCTTGCAGCACATTCAGAAGTTAACACAATGTGGGTCAAAGACCCAAACATAAAAGCTAGAACTATGACACCCTTGGAAGAAAACATAAGGGAAAACCTTCATGACGTTGGATCTGGCAATGATTTCTTGAATACGACACCAAAAGCAGAGGCAACAAGGCAAAGTAGGTAAGTAGACTCCGTTAAAATTAAAAATTATGTGAATCAAAGACATTCTCAAGAAAGTGAAATAAAATGGAAGAAAACACTTGCAAAGCATGTATCTATCTGGTAAGGGACTAATATCCATAATATAAAAAGAGCTGTTACAATTCAGCAACAACCAAACAACTTAAAACACGGGCAAAGGACTCAGACATTTCTCCAAAGAAAGCATGCAAATAGCCAGTGAGTCAGTGAGAAGATGTTCAAGCTCCCTTATCACTAGGGAAATGCAAATTAAAACCACAAGGAGATACCACTTTACACCCCTCAGGATGGTTATTACAAACACGCAAACAAATGGAAGACAAGAGTAGTCGGGATGTGGAGAAGCCGGAGCCCCTGTGCATGGTCAGCAGGGGAGCAACAGGGCGAAGCCGCTGTGGAAAAGCCCAGCAGTTCCTCAAAGAGTTAAACGTACAATTATCATGACCCACCTGTTTCGATGTGATTTCTTTGCCGTTATGATTCCTATGTGAAACGCACAGGATTCAGGCTGTGTTAACCCTATGCTAAGTAGCTAAAAATGGAGCCTTGGTGGCCAGTGTCAACTTCCCTGTTGGTTGTTTTAAAACATCCACTGCAGAACTGCAAGAATGCTAGAGTGATAAACCCGGAGTGCTACTTTAGATAAGAAATGTGTTTGGTAACAAACATCACTGGAACAGAAGGAGCAAGGGATGGAGACAGACTCCCTGGGGCGTAACTGCCACTCCCACTGACAGACTCCTTAAGAGACCTTCAACCTCCAAGCACAGGGTCCAGAGGCTCTCCGTGGAGGACCAGCTCCAGGCTGTCACCACGCCCACACTCCCTGGTCTGGAGGTCGCAGCCGCATCGCCATCGCGGCCCACTGCTCCCTCCCTCCCGCTCCCTGAGCGCTTCTGTACCCCTTCCTATCTTCCCTGCTTTGGCTAAATTGTGCTGTGCTCACTGTGTGCCACGAACTGAGTGATTCGTGAACTGAAAACTGGCTGTCCCGACCCCGCGACTCTCAGGTGGCCCTACCCCAGCCCCACCACTGGCCCTGCAACAAACACCAGCAACCCCAGACACTCTGGCACGCGCAATAGTCACACACAGCCTCAGCTCTGTGCCCACTGACGGATGAAGGGATAAGCAAACGGTGGTCCATCCACACTGCGGAATGCTGTTCAGCTTTTGAAAGAAAGGAAATCCTCAACATGCTACAGCACGGATGGACCACGAAGACACGGTGCTGAGTGAAACAGGCGAGACTCAAAAGAGCAAATACCGCATGATTCCACTTGTACGAGTGATATGAACGTGAATCATCAAATTCACACAGACAGGAGGTGGGACAGAGGTCACCAGGCGCTGGGGAGATAGGGTGGGAAGAGGGTCAGTCTGAGAAGACGAAAAAGTTCTGGAGGCCAATGGCGGTAAGTGTTGCCCAGCAATGTGACTGTATCTAATGCACTGAAATGTACACTTAAAATGGTTAAAATGGCATATTTTGTGTTATGTACATTTTACCACAGTAAAAAACCTTTTTTAATGCTACTGCAACAGAATGACTTATTAGGACTAGATACGGGCTAAAAAGAAGAGAATACATTAAAAATCTGCTAAAAAGGAAACATTTTTAGAACCTCATTTTTATCACACTTGTTCATGTGCAAGTGACATCACCTGCCCGGCATGGTACCAAACAGGGAGCAAGTCCAAGGTCGGGTGGGGACCACCCTGGGCAGGCACCTGCTCCTGGCTCCCTGGGCAAGCTCTTCCAGAGGAGCCATTGCCCTCCAGGCCCCTGCGTCCCCAGCTCACTCACTGTAATTAAGCCTTTCCCATCAGAATTAACTGGCCCAAATTCAACCACCAAATACAAAACTTGGCCTCAAGGGCTCAAGGTTTTTGCTAAATCACACTCCGAGTACATTACCTAACACGCCAACATTTTTGAAAGTCTGTCGGAGAAGGAAAGGTCTTCAGACTCTCCTTCATTTCTTGGGTCCTGGGACTCGGCAGGCTTCACTCCTCCCCAGCTGGGAACAGGTCACTGACAACACTACGGCCACCGGCCCAGGTAAGATAGTGCGGAGAAAGGAAAGAGCCACCCACAGAAAATGACAGCAGTCCCCCAATTAACCCCAGGCCCCGATGTGCCAGGAATCAGGAAGCGTGGTGACTGCAGAGAAAGTGGATCTTAAAGAGACACCGTTCTCAACCAGAAAGCACAGGCAGTTGAGGGAAAGGCCACAGGTTCCGGGGAAGAGCAGTGAGTTCTGCTCCACCCACAGCCCTGGACCCGCTGGGTGGGGGCCCCGGGAAGCTGGGTAAGAGGAACACTCAGTTAGGGGATCCACGTCAACTCACCACAGAGAGCTCGCTCCAAGTTGGTGAATCTAAACACCAGGACGACTGACGAGATGCTGGAGACAAGAACACACCCCCTTCCCTCGCTTTAAGAGGGTATAAAAGATGAACCACGCAAGGAAAGGCTCATCTGAAAAAATCAGGAAAAATAAAATACTTTAAAACCTCAGAATGACCTCACACAGCAATCCATTTACTATCACTCCAATTTAAACCCGCAGCCACCTAACAGGACAGGAAACCTCCAGCCGCCAGAGCTGCTTGTGCTCAGGTCTCCCGGACTTCATGACTGGCTCTGGATGCTCCTCAGCCGGGAAAGCTGCAACAGTGCATCTGGCCACAGGGACAGACTTACAGCTTTGAAACAGAGAGCTTTACACAGTCATGAATCAAAGACCACTTTAAAATCACCCCTAAAGGGACGCTGCTCTAGGGTGTGCGCTTCCCAGGATTTAGCAATCTCACCGAGGCACCTCCACTTTCCTTAGGTGGGCTCCATCGGGGCTGCGAAAGTCACGCTTCAACCAAAAGCTGCAGAAGGGCAGGGACCCACCGCA